TAGGAGGAGGAGGAGGAGGAGGAGGAGGAGGAGGAGAGGAGGAGGAGGAGTAGGAGGAGGAGGAGTAGGAGGAGGAGGAGGAGGGAGGAGAGGAGGAGGAGGAGGATGAGGAGGAGGAGAGAGGGAGGAGGAGGAGGAGGAGGAAGGAGGAGAGAGGCGGGATCGTGGAGGAGGGAGGAGTGAGGAGGAGGAGGAGGAGGAGGAGGAGGAGGAGGAGGAAGAGGAGGGGAGGAAGGAGAAGCAAGGAGGAGGAAGGAGAAGGAGGAAAGGAGCAGGAGGAGGAGGAGGAGGAGGAGGAGGAGGAGTGAGGAGGGAGGAGGAGGAAGAGGGGAGGAGGAGGAGGAGGAGCAGGGAGGAGGAGGAGGAGGAGGAGGAGGAGGAGGACGGAGGAGGAGGAGGAGGAGGAGGAGGAGGGTGAGGATATGAGGCGGAGGAGGAGGGCGGAGGAGGAGGAGCAGGATGTAGGAGGAGGAGGGGGAGGAGGAGGCGGAGGAGGAGGAGGAGGAGGAGGAGGAGGAGGAGGAAGGAGGAGGAGGAGGCGGAGGAGGAGGAGGAGGAGGAGGAGAGGAGGAGGAGGAAGGGGGGGAGGAGGAGGTAGGAGGAGGAGAGGAGGAGGAGGAGGAGGAGGAGGAGCACGGGCAGGTAGAGGAGGAGGGAGGAGGTTTTAGGAGGCAGGAGGAGGAGGAGGGAGGAGGAGGGAGGAGGGAGGAGGAGGAGGAGGAGGAGGAGGAGTGAGGAGGAAGGTGGAGGGAGGAGGAGGAGGAGGAGGAGGAGGATGGAGGAGGAGAAGGAGGAGGGGAGGGGGAGGAGGAGGAGGAGGACGAGGAGGAGGAGGAAGGAGGAGGGAGGAGGAGGAGGAGGAGGAGGAGGAGGAGGGGAGGAGGACGGGGAGGAGGAGGAGGAGGAGGAGGAGGAGGAGGAGCGGAGGGCGGAGGGGGAGGTCAGGGGGAGGAGGGGAGAGGACCGGGGGAGGAGGGGAGGAGGGGTGTGGCAGGATGGGTCGAGGCTGTCCGAACCTCCGCCGCAAGCAGAAACAGATGCGCACCGACGCCGGGCCTGGCCCACCGACCAGGCGCGCCTTGGGCCGGGCTCACGGCGCCCCTCGGGTTTTTCGCCCCTCGGGCAGCGCAGCGCGGAGACTTATGGCGACTGTCTCCGTGCTTTTCTCGGGGGCGTCCAGCCAGGGGGCGACGACGTTGGAGGTCTAGGCAGGTCCTCCTCCTCCTCCTCCTCCTCCTCCTCGATCCTCGATCCTCGATCCTCGATCCTCGATCCTCGATCCTCGATCCTCTCCCTCCTCCTCCTCGATCCTGGATCCTCGAGGGATGCTGGCCCCCGTGCCTCGGGCGGCCCAGCACGGGTGGCCCAATTCACCATCCTTCCCTTGTTTTGGGAGTCCTCTCGGGAATCCTCGTGTGGACATCGTGGCCGCGGCCATGACTTCGAGTAGGGGATCGACTACAGAAGTGATTTTAGTTGAACAAAAAGTGGCATAAACATAATTATCCCGGCAAAGCAACCTAACAGCGATATGTAGAAGCATATCTGAAAGCATTCCCCTTAAGATTCAGATGAAAATCCAGTTGTAGAATTCTGCTGTTCTCGCAGTCGTAGTCGCATTCGCGATGACAGTCGCCGCGGCAACGGCAGTCGCAGTCACAGCCTCAGCCTCAGCCTGCCTCAGCCTCAGCCTCAGCCTGCCTCAGCCTCAGCCTGCCTCAGCCTCAGCCTCAGCCTGCTTCAGCCTCAGCCTCAGTCTGCCTTCAGCCACGGCCACAGCCTCAGCCTGCCTCAGCCTCAGCCTGCATCAGCCTCAGCCTCAGCCTCAGCCTGCCTCAGCATCAGCCTGCCTCAGCCTCAGCCTGCCTCTGCCTCAGCCTCAGCCTGCTTCAGCCTCAGCCTCAGTCTGCCTTCAGCCTCGGCCTCAGCCTCAGCCTGCCTCCGCCTCAGCCTGCCTCAGCCTCAGCCTCAGCCTGCCTCAGCATTCAAAATGTGGCCCGGGAATGGAATTCTGGGAACTCGAAGAACACGAAGTGGCCTACAGTTGGCTCCGGGCATTCAAAATCATGCCCAGGAAAGGAGTTCTGGAACTCGAAGACCACGAAATGGCCTACAGTTGGTTCCGGGCATTCAAAATGTGGCCCGGGAATGGAGTTCTGGGAACTCGAAGAGCACGAAGTGGCCTACAGTTGGCTCCGGGCATTCAAAATGTGGCCCGGGAATGGAGTTCTGGTAACTCGAAGAGCACGAAGTGTCCTACAGTTGGCTCCGGGCACTCAAAAATGTACCCGGGGGGGGGGGGGGGGGGGGCCTGTATTTGGGGGGTCGGAAGAGCCACGAAAGTGTGTTGAGGTTGCCAACAAACGAACCCGGCTCTGTTCCCGGGTCTCCAGAATGTGGCCCGGGAATAAAGTTCTGGGAGGTCGAAGAGCACGAAATGTGTGACTGTTGGCGAAAAGCGAGCCCGGCTCTGTTCCCGGTTCTCCAGAATGTGGCCCGGGAATAAAGTTCTGGGAGGTCGAAGGTCACGAAGTGTGTGACTGTTGGCGAAAAACGATTCCCGGTTCTCCTCCCCGGCACCCGCCCAGACCCCCCTGAGGAGTCATGATGCTCTCTTTTGAGCCTACTAGAAACCTATCAGCAAACGCTGTTAGTAAAAACTCAGAGGGTCGCGCGGATTCTCGGACGGAGGGCGCCCCCTTCTGGCGCGCGGAGCGCGCAGAGGGCGGCGCCGGAGGCGCCGAGGTGGGCCCCAGCGCGATCGAGAAATCCGCGCGGACCTCCGAGATTTTAAGTTTGAGTCACCTTTTTTTGTTCCCTGGATCTGACCGAGCTGAATCTTCCGGTCGAGTCTGCGGCTGGCATGCATGGAATCATTCTCGCGATCAGCGGCGACCCATGGCCCGTTCTTGTAGGCCTCGAGGAGGACGGAGGAGGCGGAGGAGGCGGCGGCGGGGGAGGAGGCGCCGGAGGAGGAGGAGGTGGAGGCGGAGGAGGAGGGGAGGAGGAGGAGGAGGAGGAGGCGGAGGAGGAGGACGGAGGAGGCGGAGGCAGCGGCGGCGCGCTGGCGTATCGGTCATCGGGTGAGTCGATCCTGCACTCCGATCCCCTGCCCGACGACTGCCGGGACGACGGAAAGACGGCAGGCTCACACACTTTCGGGGCTCTGCGCTGCTGTCTTCGATCGGCGCTGGCTTCCCCTTGGCGGCCCCTCTTGCGCCGCCCCTGGCGCGCTCTGAGGAGGAGGAGGAGGAGGTGGAGGAGGAGGAGGAGGAGGAGGAGGAGGGGGAGGAGGAGGAGGAGGCCGCCCCTGGCGCGCTCTGCGCGCCAGGGAGTGGGGTTCAGCGCAGATCCAAGAGCTCCGCGCGGACCTCCAAGGGTTGTTTATGTGCATCCGCTATTTCTTCCCCGAGTGACTGCGGATGTTTCGGGTGTTGCCAGGACCAAGTCGGGCCTGCCCTTCTACAGGAGGAATATCCAAACATGGTCGAAACATAGCCTGGACAGTTTTTTGTTTTCTGTTTTTGGGCTTGTTTTCCTTGGAATTCGCCCCACGATTCGCCTGTAGAAGGACATGCCCGACCTGATGCTAGAAGTGCCCCTGGCCCAATGTGCCCCCAGGATTCTCGCGGTGGCCCAGACGGCCCCCAGAGCACTCCCTCACGAGCCAGGACCCCAGGTGCTCCAACATGGAGCGAGAAGCTGGGGGCACCTTGAGCCAGGGGCACCTGGAGCAGACCCCGACTGTTATGCACCCCTTCTATTCTTCTTCGAGTCCGTTCCCTGGCTCTCCCTCCCTCTCTCGTTGTTTGCGCACGTGCCTCGAGCCATGGTTCGCCAGAGCGCCCCACAAACCTGCCCCCCCCCCTCTCCCCCCCTGTGGCGCATCCGAGGCGCAGCATCCTTGCGGAGCACAACCGTCTCATGGCGGCATTCTTCGAGAGATGTCTTTGGAGATGCAGAGCTCATGCTCGATAATTCTGGCCATGTGCATGATACCGCGCGCGAGTGGGCCATACGGAGGGCCGAGAATATGCGGGCACTCGGGTTCGCACCTGCAAGCCACCACATATCGGAGTTTGCCGCGTGACCGCTGCGACTATTTTGATTGCGGGTGTGCCATTCAGTGGGATACTGCTTTCTGAAGAGTTACAATTTGCCGGGGGCCTTGTTCTTCCTCCGCCATGGTTCCTCCCTTGCAGCAGTAACCTCGTTCCTCAGCAGCAGGAGCAGCGACGCGGGGAGCGATCGGAATCAGACAGGCCAGTACCAGGGGAGGTCGTGGAGGATCAATGTTAGTGTGGGCTACCGTGTGTACACCATACCATGTGTTGGTGCCGCTGTGGGGGTGCATGGTGATGCGCATGCATCAGATCCATTCCAAGCGTGGGGGAGAACACCGCTTTAGTCTTTGCGGCGGCCTTGGCCAGCATGAACCAACGTTAGGCGTGCTGGGCCATTCATCCATGTGTCAATGTCACCCGCAACCATCTCCTTGCGACAGTCGGTTGTGCCGTGGGAGTGCCGTCCGTGGTCTTGCCGTATTCGCGACAAGGAGTTCGAATCCGCCATTCCAATGCTACGGCATTAGGCTTCGCACCTGCCCGAAACATTCCACACGGAGTTTGCATGTTTCACAACTTCTCTGACGAGTAGCCAGGCTGACCCACCATGGGCATCCTTTTTGAGTGGGGGTGCGGACGAATCTCCGAGGAATCAGCGCAGACCCGACAGCACCGGTGATGCGGATGGGATCCGTCGGTTGTTGTTCATGTTTGTGAAAATGCGCTTCCAGACGTATCAGGAAACACATTTGCGTTTGACGATTGTGCCCGTTTGGTTTCGGGCGGCGACGGACAGCGCGGTGGCGCACAGCGTGCACAAGGCGTGCGCGGTCCACGCGGGCCCCATGAAAATAATCAAGAGCGGTCACAACGAGGGCGACCCAGAACCATGGCCTTTCAGATCGTTTCTGTTGACCGAGACAAGCGTGCCAGACC